TTGATTCCATTTTACGTAAACAAATAAACTTGCTTTCATATAAATACAAGAGATACGCGCGCACACGCTTTCATTGACAACCTTATCTACGTTTAAGTTGTTATGCAAGCAACAAGTGTTGAATGATTAAGGTTAACATGAAATCAGTAAACAAAGTGTCAGATATCGCCTGTATATTTGACTGAGCTCTAATAAAATCGAATCCTCAAAGAGACAAAAGAACCAACTAAGCGCTATGTACGCTTTTAGCGTCCCTTAGGTATATACAACAACTTGAAGTAAATAAATGAAACATATGATGCTCCTTGTTAACTATGGACGTAAGTAAAGATCGACAAAAAGAGATTTCCACAGAGTAGGGCTCTGGCAAGCATTCCTACCAAATACCACTATCTGGAGTTTGTCTTTAAAAAAGTATAGGATATGACTCCAATTATCACTATAACTTCAAAGCTCTTCTATCCGGGTTGTAGTTCTAGACACAACAGATCCATTTAAAAACTTTGACTGTAAAAGAAAGCTAAAAACTTACTCTCGATAACCGGCTTTATATATGCGGATTCCTACAAATTTTCAAGCGCTACGAATGTTATAAAAATAGTCCATTAACTGGCGGATATGTGATTGAACGGACAGACGGACACGACTAAATCATTTCAGAAACCAACTTTCATCAATAATCGCTGAGATCCGGCAACTTAATGTTGCAAAAGCCATGAAAAACTCAGCATACACCGATAATACGCTGCCAATGACGAAAGTATATAGAAATGAAACAAAATTTATAGTCATGCTTATGGATTTGTATAAACTAAATTTATCAGCGTGGTACACTTCAAAAAGAAACAATTTCATACAAAAGGTTTTCAATAGGGCTTAGTTATTATTATCATCATCATCTTCTTCGCCGTCATTATTGCCATCATAATACGTATGATCATAATGCTTATGATCCCTTCGTCCGTATCAAAGAGCATATAGTGTGGATTAAAACGACACCCCATGGTTTCATCAAAAAAGTTTTTCAATGATCTTCTCAAGTGCCAGGTTCTGCTGACTGCTGTTGTGTGCAGAATGGACCAATATCGCTATGTATGTATATATGTATGTTTATTTCATTGTGGTTCTTTTTATTATGTGGTAGTTGAAAGATACAGATCACAAGGGGTTCTCCTTAACTGAGTGCAATTGTGTCATATATTTTATATTGTATTTGATATCAAAAACGACAATTCTTTTACGTTGTATTTATTTGACCTTCAAGTCGCTATAAAATCGTTTCGCATGCACGGAGCAACAATAATTTTTAAAAACCCATTAATATCAGGCTTATAAAAGGAAGTCAAAAAATTCAAAAAATAAAGAAAAGTTGAAAGAATTTTAAACTGTATACATGTCTTTAAAAAGTTTTTTTCAATAAAATTCTTACTCAAAGTTCATTAAAAATATTCACAATGCTTTTTGTTAATCCAAGTTTATTAACTTTTAATAATCAACGATATTTCTGCTCTAACAGAAAAGGGGTTCATTTTCTTATAAAAAAAGTTTTAATCCTTAATTATTAACCATTTAAAGGCTTGAGAGAAAAAGTGCCGCATTATGTTATGAATGGCATCTATATCTAAAGCGCTTTTGACCCGCAATTCACTCCGGTTAAGAGTTTTAGTACCTGGTAGTATTACTGCCTTTGCCGAGAAAACTGACAACCAGGGGAACAGCTGATAGATTAAAACCACGTTGTCTCTCCTCGGTTATTGATGTTCGTCTCAGTAAAAGCTGGGAAATGTTTACATTTATTTCTAAGCATATCCGAGATTATATAGATATTATGAAGACTAAGACAAAGTATTTCGTGTGCTTCGCTTTCGTACTGACTCTTTTCTAATACGACACGGTAGATCACCTGTCGTTTCCTGGCTAATTGCCTTTTAAGAAGAAGAAAATATTTCTTTAAATTTCCGTTTGATTAATATTTCAAAGTGATGATTAGAATTTCAAGAGATTTTATGCTCTCCTTTCTACCGTACTATCGAAAGATAAAATTTAAAAAAATCAGGTAAGATATATCCGAATTTGGCATTATAACAATAACAACAATAACAAAAATAATATTAAAGGATGCGTGCTCCCGGTGAAAGGTTTTTGCTTTTAGAGTTGAAGTAAAGAGTGAGTGGAGTAGAAGCATTAGTGTAGTAGAAGCGCATAGTGATAGTGCATATTAATGTTGCATTTCCATCCCTCTTATAGAATTATGAACTCAAATATAATAACAATTACAGAATGTAGTTTCGCTAATTGCGATTATTATGTATACCTAATTCTCCAGGAAGAATCTCTTCGGTGATTTCTTTGCGGTGTTAACATGTTAATGACAAGGCTGCCCAGCTTCCAATGGAAAAGTATTTTCCCCGTAAATAAAGTTATCCGCTGCAAGCAAAAATAAGAACTTTGCCTTTCTTTCTAGAAAGGAACTATTTACCGGTTGAAGGCATCTGCTTAAATAAATGCTATCAATCATTTTCCCGACCGAAGGGATATAAGGAGCAGCAATAAATTCAAAAAAAAAAAAAAAAAAACAAGCAAGCAAGACATAAAATGGAATTGCTTGCGTTTCCCTTATTTACCATTGGAGGTAAGGACATTCCAGATTTGCAATAACCAAAAATTGTGTGACAGAAGCCTCTCGAACGACATATATATTTCCTCTTTCCTCTATTTAGATACGAAATAATCGTCGAATTAAGTAATAGCAGGTTAATCTTCCGTTGAAAATTTTCGAGCGTCGACTTAATTTTTATCAAGTTTATAAATAAAAGGAAGAAAACATCAGTAGTGGATGCATATGAAATAAGTGTGTGAGGAAAAAAAGGATCGACATGAAAATAGAAATCTACAGCCTATAAGCACACTTGTAGATAACGTGAAACTGAACCAACACAAACCGCAAACACTTGGTAAGTGATATAATAAAGGCATTCTTGATCTTGACAGGCCAAGGCTCTATCGATTTAATGATATTCATTGTTCCAATTCTATTCTATTTGGTCGTGTACAGTGTAAATTAAATGATCGCTAACACAAAAGTTTTCAAATATGTTTTCTTTATAATCAGAAAATTCGGGCTACATCAAGATTGCTTCTCTCGAACATTTTGTTTCTACTCCATTTAATGCGTTTTTTTAACTTTTTTTTATAAAGCAATCTTTCTGCGCAAGTATATCTCAAATCATCAACAGCAAGAGGAAAATGACTTTTTAACGCCTTCTTCTGTATCTCTTCAATCCGATGATAAGTTCGTTCCCCCGTTTATTATTCAACGATTTATAATGCAAACCGTATTGTGTAAATAATTTGCGTTGTATGCATATGCATCAGTTTTTTTTTTTTTTTTTTTTCTAGGCATACCTTGGTTTTTAGTTATGTAATGGCAGCGAGCAGTATAGTTCTCTTAAAGCTTTTTTAAGTACTCTACCTAAGATAAATTTGATAAAGATCGTTATGTCTTTTAAACGAAATCAACTGAGTTTTTCTTCTAGTTTAAATTTTAATCCGTCGTCCTTGCTTGCCAGCAAATTTTTCCCACTTTCAGTATTCAATATTTGTGAAAATTTTGAACCTTCTACACTTTCGGGCATAATCCAATACAAGGCAGAAAAAGTGGTAGATGAAGAGGAGAAATTTTTCTTTGCTTATTTAGAACTAACTGACTAAAGTTCGACAATTACTTAGTCTGCTGATTGCGAACGCCACAACCAATTTAATATACCGCCCGTTCATTAACCACGATGATAAAAATAAGGATGGTTTGTCTGCTTGTCAGTCAGCAATTCAGAAAGCCTGCAAGTGTAACAAATTTCTTGTCTTCCTTTAGATGCTTCGCGGGAAAATGTTACGCATGCTCTCTATCTATATACACATGCATGCAAAGAGCGAACTGAATTGAGTAGGCTGACATGTTAATACGGATGTGTACGCCGTCTTTTATATGCAATATATGCATATATATATATATATATATATATATATATATATATATATATATATATGAATATAGATGTGTATATACATAAATATATGTATGCATATACACTAATATACATATATATACAGTAATGTATATAAATATTTTGATAATAGCTTGTGAAAAAAAAGGAGTGTATATATATATACATTTACATAAAAGTCTATCTAAGCAGTTAGTTACCGTAGGACAGGTACAAACTCAAGGTGTGTTTTTTCTTCTGACTGACATTTGTTTGTACAATCACGAGAAAAATGTATAAATTAGAAATGAATGAATGTTTGCTTATCTTTTGAATTTTTCTATTAACTATGTTTGTGCACTATTCTAAAAATGATGGAAATGATTTGGCATTTTTTTTTTCAAATTTTGGAATTTTTTAAAAATTTTATTTTAAATTCAAATAATAAAACATAATTTATTATTCAAAACAATTCTTCTGAATTTCATGTAAATATGTATATATGATTCATCTTATTTTTCGGCTTTTTACTGTTTTCCCTAACTTGGTTGCATCTACGGGCAGTGACAATATGAACGGCATAATGAAATTTTAATACTTAAGTAATCACAAAGTCTCTGACTCTGATTACGCTGTCGTCCCCTTTAAATGAGAAGTAAAATTATGTTTCCTTCATAATACCGCATCGCCCAGTCCGCACCTGCATTCTTTTCGCGCACTCTATGGAGATTAGTTTATCCGTAAGAGTGAATTGTTGTCAGGAACAGACGTATGGATACTTTTTTCTATAATAAAGACTTCTGTTCATCACAAGGATGAGACCTTGCGTATTTAATCTCTTCCAGCTAAAATCAACAAAAACACTATTAACTACTTTTGTTTGTTTATCTATATCATTTATTACTATTATTATTATAATTATTATAATTTTAGGCTAATGGAATAAATTCTTTAATTAAAAAAGACATTGAATATATACATATATATATATATATATATATATATATATATATATATATATATATATGGAAATTGAATTGTGAAAAACTTTTCAGAAGTCTATCCATTTCTCTACCTTTAATCCCAAATCAGTGTCCATGAGTGAATCTAAGGCCTTTTGGACTTTTACATCTTTAAGTAAGTCTAATAAGCCTGCGTCTTTTTTAACAGCCTCCAATGTAGGGTACAATAAATTGTAATGAACTTCTGTGACAGATGGCTTACTTAATATTTCAATCATTTTTTTTTGCAAAGCGATCTCCGGATCAGGCGTATTCACAACGGCTGTAACGGATGTAACGTCTTCAACGCCGGCATCGACCAGTTCCACCTTCATTTGCAATGTTCGACGTTCTTGTAAGTATTTTATAATGCGATCGTATTGCGATACGGTTAATGGCGCATTGTTTGCCAACATTTTTAATAAAGTCTGCATAGGATCGGAATGTCGTCCCTCTGGAAGCGTTTTAGGGATTGTCCCGGGTTTAATATGTGTGGACTGAGGCGACCGGTTTTTTGCTGCATCGCTGTTAGCTAAAATACCCCGACGCGTTCTTCGGAAATCTGCATCAATTAATTTGATGGCATCGGCAATTGGCATATTACGGTGTTCAAACTGTTGCCCATGTAATATATTAAGAGTAATGCTTCCGTGCTTCTCATTCTGCCTATTTATAAGTATGGCATATAAACAGCCTCTTCCAGCTATTGTGGAAAGCACTTTTCCTAAGGGTACACCTGCATTCGGAAATAGAACGTCCACTTTTAAATGTAAAAGTTTCAAACGTTCTTCTACCATTTCAGCATATTCAGTGTTTCTCGTATCCATAGCAAGTATTTCACAATCATTAAAGCTCTCAGTTGGCTTAGGCAATGAGGGCCCAGCGCCGCTTCTGGGAGTTGCGCCTTTACGAACTGTAATAATATTACCTTTAAATAAATTATTGTTTAAAGATGACGCTGCCTTTTTGGCATTCTCTGCACATTTCATTTGCACAAAGCCAATATTTTTCCGCATCAATGAACCAAAAACCTTTCCATACGGTAAAAATATACCTTCCAGTTCGTCTTTGGTGCATGGCGGTAAATTACCAATAAAGAGACGACTATTCGAGAAATTTGGATTATGTATAATGCTATTTGTTTCATTTAGTTCGGTCATAATTAATATTTTGTCGAGTCGTAGCAAAAAATTCTCACATCGACAAGTCTAGAAAATTATTTTATCTTTACATAAAAACAGGGTTGTACTAGAATGGTAGTAAATAAAACAAAATGTAACAAAAGGCATTAAGGCGTATTATAAGACGAATTTCTTATATAAACAAATCACATTCTGAGACCGTATAAGAAAATACTAATCCGAAAATTTTACATCACATCTTTTCAGGCTTTACAGGAATATATGTGGCATGTCTTTAATATAGTGTTTGTGGGGTTTATAAGTAACGAGCATAAAAACCCTTTTGAAAACTGAAGTCCTCGCAATTCATGGCATTCCGTTTACCGAGCGAACAGATATGCCTACATCATCCCTATATTTGAAAACTGATACTAAAGCGTATATATACTTTACAGTTCTTTCGTTCTGACTGTTATTTACGTTTCGCAAAGATAAATATGTCCCCAACCTGAGGTGATGAGTACAGAAATAGTGTGAACGAAGATATGAATAATAAGCGTTTCTTCTCCGAACTTGTTTCAGTTTGTTCTATATTGTGGATGCGCGTATGGGCAGATCCTTCACATTTCTTAACCTTTTATTATTAGTCGAGCAAGGAATATTGGATATACAGATGCCAAATCTCAGCGGACTATTTTTTTTTTTTCACAAAATTTAAGGGTTAAACGGTTAAACTTTTGATAGAAATAGGTACATGCCACGGGTAGCTAGAAAAGTGCATCAGGTGGAAAAAATTTAATTATACTGTTAGAAAATGTGGTTTTTGTACTTCTTGACACGCTTCTTACCGTCATTTTTACAACCCTCTAATTCTCGTTCTGGTCCTATCCGTTTGAATCCTGCAATCTAACGCGACTCTCACACAATTTTTTTTCGTTTCACTCGACTCGCTTACAACTGATTCGACTGATTTTCGAGTCTGGTCTTTGCCTCCCGCAAATATTCTGCTTATATATCCTTCTGCCATTCATTAGGATATTTTTGATCCGTTAGCTTGTCAATTCATTTTCCGCTAAATTTCTATCAATTGTTGCTAATCTTGGCTGCCTGACACTAGTAACGCGCCAAGAATGTGCATTTGGTGTTCCCCTCCTTTAGAATTTAGTTTTTTAAAAAACCTACTAATTGTCATGATAATCCAAATTGTGGAAAACAGCATTTTTGTAAAAATACGTATATTTACATGACAAAAAAAAAAAAAAATGGCTTTATAATGGGGCATCGTCTCATGTATGGGATATGGTGTACAGGACGTGAACGGAACTTTCCTCTTCAACAATAAAGAAACCTTTGGACAAAAAGCAATGTTAACTCATGTCTTCTAAGCAATCGACAGACCACTTCTTCTAAATCTTCCTTGATTGCTTTAAATTATTTCTAATCCATTTTCGGTTAGATATGATTTTTCTTTTTAAATCAACTTGAATTTAGAAAAAGAAACTATCAATTAATTGTTGTATGCTTGTTTGCCGGCAAATTGGGTTCAGTCGTCGTCGTCACATGAGAATGAATCATGTTGTCATGAAAATGTGCGGTTTTGGATGATGACTGCTTATTTATGGTGATGCGAACTGAATACTAAATGATTTTATGGGAAATCACTCTCACAATATTTAAGCGAGAGCCTAGAGACTTATGCATATTTTCTAGACCAAGTAATTAACAAAAACTAAAGCATTCGGGACGATGACATTTAAAAACATTACAGACTTTAATTGTCTTAATTGGGAATTTTATGTATATATGTAAGCATGTACATGCACGTCTGAAAGCAGTTGCAATAAACTTGAACGCAGAAATGACAAATATCGCTTGCGATGGATGTATTCTTATTCGCGCGTGATATGAATTCATTTCAGATTTTTCTAAATATTTTCACAACTTTATAGTAAAAGAATTTTAATATTTTTCTTTTCTTCCCTTCTTCTATCAATTCTATTTCTCACTCACCGACGCGGACATCAAGTTAAATATTTATCTACGTTTACATAAATTAACAGAAATCCGAAGAGCGAGAACAAAAGAGACGAAAATTCAAGAAGAAGAAGAAGAAGATTTAAAAAGAATAACAATTTTGATCTTTCGCTTTTAACACCTGCCGTACAAAATGCCCATTAAAAGTAAACATCTGCTCTCTATGTAGAAAATCCATACAAAATATTTTTTTTTCTTCTCCTTATCCTTGAAAGGAAAGAAAATGAAACAAAAACAAGGCATTTCCTTGCATTGTTTTCTTCTTTAAATAACTGCCCCGTTTTTCTCAGCTCTCGGCTATATTTTCAAAAGATTGAAAAGAAAAGTATTTTGAAACATTTCACACCATTTAATTTAGAAAAAAACGATAAGAAAAATAATGAGAATTGAATGGAAATAGGAAAGAAAAGATTGTTTTACTTAAGAAACCCATAAATCGGCAACAACAACAACAAAAAGAATTCAATAATATATGTATATCGTCTTTAAGAGGTATGCACTACACTTACTTATATCGCATCGAAATGATTTTATTATTTACCCGAGAGAAAAATTTTTCCTTGATTTTAGTTAGCTGGCAGTTTTAGCACCCCGCCTTTATGATCCCTAGGCCTTAAAATGGCGATCATAACTTTCAAGCCATTGGTAACCATCTCCTGTATGTCGATGTTTATAAGAAATTCTAGTTAAGAATGTCCTCACCCGAGGTACATGAGGTACTAATTAACTTTAACTTGAACTTTTAACTAACTTTACGTTCAGCTTACATTGAATTTTCTACTAGACGCACTTGTTGCTCAGAGGTCATCAAAGTTCCAAAATCATTTTCGAATAAAGGTTGAGATCCAGATCTGATTCCATTTAAAACGTCACGTTTACGATCTGCAATTTTGCGTAGCTGGTTGACATATGTTTTGAAGAACGAATAACTTTAAAGTGAAATAAAGATTAAAGCTATCAAGTCACAAGCTCCTGGCAGTAAAATCATAAGTTGATACTTGCAGCCGTGTTCTGAGCAGCATCACAGGCATGTCGTTGGTCAAAAGCCATCTTTTGCTTGTGTTTTTTATGACTTAGTAATCTTGTCTTATATATACGTTTCTATCGGAGAATTCTACCGTGACTGCTACTCGGGAATGTCAAATTACATACAAAATCATAAACGCTACGACAAGAAAGCGCGACAACTGGCAACGCCACAATACGGCCTTGCAGCCACGTATTGTTTAAGGCTGGTAAGGAATCGAATCTTAGCCGTCTTAATCTTAAGTTATGGACATGAACCCATGTCGCTTAACGCACACAACAGTTGCTCATGGACGGAATGAAATTTTAACGTTGCTCCAACTTCCCAATTTTGTTTACCGATCGAGCCAATCAAGTGAACATTACTCTTCGCATGGAAAATACGGCTTAAAAATCTTTGAATGAATAATCGAAATATTTTTTGGATTTCTGCAACTTGTCGCAAACCCTTGGAAATTGCCTTATGGAGAAAACTGAAAAAAAAACCGGATGATGTGCAAACTTGGGTCTTACTAAATGATATGTTTTAATAGATTGAAAGCTAGCTTAGCACAACAGCTATTTAAAGAGCAAAGGAATATAATAATAAAGATATCGAGGATATATTCTTCGGTTTTTAACGACGAAAAATACGCCCCAAGAAGTATATAAAATGTTTTAGATAAGTGCGAGATGGCGATTTAGTTCATTCTGGGTGACTTTTGACGATTCTAAAGTATGGGATAAATTAACTTTGTCAATAGATGTGATCCGCCCATAGTCTATAGTAATATAATTCAATTGTTAATATTGATCTGAAAGTAACATAAATCTTTATGAAAGCCATTCAAAACTTCGATAAGTAATTTCTTCCGATCAACCTACTAATGCACTTAAAGTAAAAAAAAATTTTTGCACTTTCGATATGTTCGCACGATAACGCTGATTAAACCTTTTTCACATTTTGCTCTTCAATTGCTTTTGTTGTTTTTTTAGACAAAAAGAATTTTATAAAATTTTCATTTCGTTTTCTTCTCTTCTTTTATGTAATAAAAATATACATTTTTCATTTGCTTTAGGTATTTTACTTTCTGCATCATGATAACAAAAGATTGCAAAATATATAAGAACTGTGCAAAGTCGATAAAAAAGAATTCCTGAAATTTAAAAACTATTGACCCCTCCTGTCTGAAGTCTATTCACTTATTTTAGATCAACAGTCTTCTTATATTCATTTTAAGTCCCTGATAAACTGCTCTTTTTTTATTCTGGTGGGGATACTACGGTCCAAACCGTTAGAAAGTAGTTTGCTGTATCGTTAGTTAACATAAATTTACTTGAAATCTACGCAGTTTCAGCCCACGAAAGATTTGAAAAATTTTTATGTGTTCTTCACTAGTAGGTCGTAGTATGAAAATTTCTTATCTCTAATTTACTTGTTTCTCTTTCAAGCAAGAGAACATTGCGTTTCAATTTCGCAGAATTTAAGTCTAACAATTTCGCTTAATATTCACACATATACGTGTACGTATAATTTAAAAATTTTCTTCAAACTTTTAAAAAAAACCTCTTATTTACTTAATAAATAGCAATAACTACATAGACAATATAAAATACAATCCACCACATGTAGGAAATGCGTAGGAAATGGGACAATCAATTGTGTTATGAGAGTGTAACATATGTTCTCGTCTCTCTTTGCAAATTTGTGAAACTGTTGATTCTATTTACAGCTGTTAATACCAATGGTATAAACATAAAAATATCCATCTGAAACACAAAACAGAATCCACCACATATACAAACACGTGTAACATTTCTCTGTACGAAATAATGCTGTAAAATTGAAACAGGTAATCCCTGCAACAATCAAATGAGTTTTACGTCAATGCAAGGAATAAGTCTAATAAGTCATTGCGGGTATGTGTAAATAAGTGATGTAGTGTATCATTCAGATATCGTTTAATTTGTTTTAGTTTTCCGTGAGCTAGAAAGAAATAGCTGACAAATTTCACTGTGTTGGACTAGTTGACAATTTATAAATTTTAAAAAATTTTCACAAGAAAAAAACAATGAACGTAGACGTATGAGAGATAAAGCAGACAGATTCAATATTGCGTAAAAAATCCAGATCTATATTCAATTGAAACAAGTATAATAAAGAACCCTTTGAAACTGTTCTCATGGAAAGTCTTCATACGTATATATATGTGCTTCTGTGTTTACGTACATAACATATGGGGCTGTTTTTGCGTCGAGATTGTTTTCAGTAACTTTCACTAACTTTGTGACTTTTCTCAATGACGATTAAGGTCAGTGACATTAAAATTAGGTTGTGGGTAATCTTTTTTACAGCAACTGTGAATTTTTGGCCAATTTCAAGGTGAACTTTATAAACATATTTCATCTTTTCGTTTTCTTACCGTTGGGTGCTTGACAGAGCACAGTTCGCAAAACCGTTTAATAAATATTGAATGCAGAGAGATTGCATTAAAGTCGTTTAACTGAAGTTTTTGGTATAGAACAAATGTCATAATTGACAACAGCTGAATTTGAATTAATTTGAAAAAAATTAACAATCTGAGCAATAAGGAAGTTCGCTCTCACTTGCAATGCCACGCGTAAGTCACGTTTGTTATTTTCAAGGGCCAAAAAGCACACAGTAGGCTTTGAGGAAAACGTTTGTACTGTAGAAAAGGTATATCCTTCTAAATGGGTATATTCCGCTATCTTATTAGCAAAACATTGTCAAAATGAATAGAAATTATTTGACAGAAGAAAAGTAGAACGTTACTGCGGTTACCAGGTACTCGACTCGAAAGCCAAACCAAGCAGCAACAACTAAGTTTTAACCAGAGAAGCAATCTACTTTTTTATGAAGGTGCTATAAATTTTTCGGCATGAAAAGTGCTGCCTGATATTTTCTTCTATCTGGCAGTTTATTCTCTCTTTCAATTATGCATTTTGCATATTCTATAATTTTAATAATTAACTCATTCCGTTTTTTTGCCGTTCACACTCTAAGATGAGTTAATTTTTTAAAATTTTAAAAGAGGAATAAAATTTGTTAGCAATTGTTTGTTGATCTTTTGCTAACAGAAGTGTTAAAATTTAGCAGAAATTAAAAACTTTGTAAAAATGTAAAGTAAAGAAATCTCTCTCTCTCTCTCTCTCTCTCTCTCTCTGTCTCTCTGTAATTTAACCAAGTTGGTTAGTGGATTATGTAAGAGTTGTAACAGGTAAATAATAGTGCAATTGCAATAAACTCCACATACAAAAAAAATAACAGCATAGAAATGAAACATTTACGTCGTCTCTCAAAACAGCTTCGGCACTTGCAGCATTGTTGCAAATCTTTAACTCTAATAAGTTTCATATGATAACACAAGAATTACAATAAACAAACATGTGGTGCATGGAAAAGAAGTTCTCTCTAAAAGTTCATGGTGGGTGAGAGAAATTCGTTTATGCGTAGAAATAAACATTGTGAAATTGAAACACACGCTCTCTCGATAAACGCTTGTTGTGTTTGTTAACTCTTAACAAACGCGTACATAATGAATGGTGCGTTTGGGATTTGCGAGTGTGTGTGCACGTCGATGCTATGCAGCCAGTCTTTACCGTATGTTTACCGAACTAAGTAAACGAAAGGAGGTTTTAGTAGTAAAACGAACGTGAATTCGCTCGCTTCGCTCATAACGCTGATAACGTGAAGATGGTGTTCGGTGTGTTTTGTGTGATTCCTAGCTGTTGGGGATAAATTCTTACAATAAAGATATTTTGATATTAAGATATTTTTAAAGATTTTCATAAACAACACAGAAATTGAAAAAAATTTATTTTGTGTAAAATAATAATTATTAGAGTGAAAAAACAAGAAATCAACAAAGAGCGAAATAAAGTTAATTCGGAAATGTATGAAGATTAAATTAAATGCAACAATATTTGTGATCGTGCCATAAAAATTCGTTACAATTAATAAGCTGTGTTGCAAACAACCTAAAATAGATTTATGCTCGATTTTCCTAAAATCATAAATTTGTTAAGTAAAAGTTTGAGAATTAAATCACATTGGATGGATATATAAATCGTAAATAGCACTTTTTTTTATAAATATATTTGGCGTCAAGTCAGTTACACACAGCCATTAGTCTATGATACCTAGGAGCATATCATAAACCATACGCGGCGGCACAAACCGTACCATAAATAAATTTAGTTTTGAAGAACTAAATACAAAAGCAAACATAAAATGCTTAACTTAATGCATTTGGATAAATATAAACATGAAATTAACAACAACGACAATAGTATAAAACATGACGCGGCTAATACCGCAGTAGTAAAAACAACAGCACATGCATTAACAAACACGTATGGCATATCTAAGTATTACAATAACAAAAGTGGAAAGCATCAGCGTTCGCGCTTTGGCAGAATGTCTATTTCGACTTCTTATTCTTCTACTTCACTAATGCCGTTCACATATTTTTCGTCTTCATCGGTGCTATGCTTGTCGCTTTCGTTGTTGGTATTTTTATTATCCGACAATGGATTAAATGGATTAAAAATAGTCGCAGCCCTTAAGGGTAAGTAAACGAAATGGAATTTATGTGGCCTAAGACAAACACAAAAAAAAAAAAAAAAAAAAATTAAATAAATAAATTTACAAAGGAAATAAAGGAAGAAAGTATAAAATATCAGTGATCGTCTATAGATATGCAAACACTCAAACATGAATACTCATTTGCACACAATAGCGTTCTTTTACATACAAACAGAAATACGCACATAAAGCTATAACATGTAATTAGGCATCAAAGTACTGTTAGGGTTAATAGTTCACAAGTAGTAAAGGAAGTTTTTAATTTTCTTCAATGAAAAGAGGAAAGAGGGAAAACATCAATCGCTCCCTGAGTGCGCGGAGACAAAAGCTTTTGTCAAATTTTAAGAAAACAAATTGGCTTAACATTTAAAAGTGATTTTCGGTCATATTTAGAGTTTCGTTTAAGATGCGTAATTACGTTGAAAGGGAAAATGTTAACCGGAACTTCAGCTCAAGTATTTGTATTATTGGTTTAACGTTCATCTTTTGATTACAGAATTGAGTCGCTACAGTATTTTAAACGACAGTCTAACGAAAATCCAATGAAAATGATATCATGATGATTATATAGCGGCCTCGCTTAGTTTATCTCTCAATATAATCAATATAATCAACAGCTTAATCGAGCACTGCGAAATGGATATTGAGCGTTGCATAATGATTTTTTTTTTTAATTTTTTAAAAACTTCGTGCTTTAATCAGAAGATCCACGATCAATGCATGTGGTTAAGCGGTTTCTCATCAACAACACAAGAATGTCTCGCATTAAGCCTCCGGAATATTTCGATCAACTTACCAAACTTGAGCAGGTATTTTCAAAATTACGCTTGATTGATAAGTGCACCACCTATGTGTAAATAAGTAGGTAAGAGGAAGTATAAAAGAGGAAAAAAGGCATGTGCTTTGTTAGCACAAACGTACAATCGCAGTCGGTATAGTTCCGAGTTGGAGGTGAATACCTAAATCGGTGCAAGCATGCGAAAGTTTGGCTACTGGAAGGTAAGACGAAAAGTACCAATCTACTTACATAAGGTAGCAAAAAGACTAAAGGATTTCACTTCACCTTCGTAGGTAAACAAAGCAAGATTTGTTTTTGAAATGATTATCTATTCAGCCAACATAAAACTGCTACGAAGGAAACCAAGTGATCGAAGCACATGGTCTCTGGACCATTGTTCAATGGAGACTAATCGCGACATAGCTTTATTATACGGAGCCCAATGTTAAGATTAGAAGCGGTCTAAAAAATATTTTTAAGTGAAACGACATTTAACAACCTTTACCGGCATGCCGAGCTCACTTGAAAGCTAATTATGTTTAAATTTCTTAAGTAACGGTAAAATAAGAAGTGTAAGTGATAACTAAACCGTTTTTGATAACTAAGTTGTAACGACTTGTTATTGTGGTAAATTAACTTGCAACAGATGCTTTTCTCTCAATTGGATACTAAAGCGGAAGCAAATTGAGTGCGGTGTTTACTTTGCTTTTCTAAAGCTTTCGAGAATAAGAACGGCATACTATTGTTTACGATCTATCTTTCACCGCATTGCGACTCACACTTGGAACTGTCTTGGAACTGGTAGAATTTTTCCAGATTCTTTTTATAATGGTTCTCGATTATACATTATACCTTCTTGCGATTCGGTGAATCATTTCAAAAATATATTTCTAAAACACAAGCGTAATACATTTTGCGGCTTCCTTATGACTCGTTTGTTCAATATGAAGCTTTAAAATCTACTTTACTTAAAGCAGCAGTTCAGTAAAGCAATAATTCAAGCGACATTTAAAAGTTCCTATTATTCATTGTTTTTCGTCCCATGTAGAAATGTGCATGTGTGAAGAAAAGTCGTTTCTCTCTTTAACTATGACAAAAAGGCAGAAGAATTTCCTTTGAAAATAGTAATACTTCTCTAAACGCCAAAAATGCTAAGGTAACATAATCGCAATTTTGTGTTCAGTGTTTGGTGTAAGTGTTCCAAGGAAGGCGTGTCAATGTGACAATATAGATTTACAGGGGCAAATACACTTTTGAATTACATGCCACAACTTTAGGACTATTCTGAAGCTATCAAAGAAAAAGATGCAAACATTACTGCAAAATTTTAAAATCTAAACAACTTAAGGAGTATTTTCCGGTTGCAAGAGATTTTCCTCCTCCACCATTTTCCTTTTCTATAAAAGGAAGATCTCAGAATTACTGAGGAATTCTTTAATTACCGATTGTACATAATAACTTCAAGGCTATGAAAGAGACCTTGAAAAATATCAGATTTCATTTTCGTTTTATTTCGTTTATTATTATTGTAATTATATATAAAGCCAGAGGGCTTAGGGTATGTAATTATTATCTACCTTAGAGGTTATAATAAAGATGTATGTATCATTTAAGATTTAACGAATTTATAGACATCAAGCAATCATTCAGCATGTCTTCATATGCCTATGCCAAACGGTTACACATCGCTTAATAAGTTCGTAGGATGACATACTAATGTGGATGTATATTGACGAATCCATATGATTTTTACATCATGCAAGATGTGTCAAAATTTCGTAATATTCCGACCACTAGTTTATGACTTACCATTGTTGTAGTAACGCTACACATGAAACTCGAACCCTTCCCTTGTTTTACAAAGCCAACTGCATATCGTGAAATTTTGACATATCCTCAATCTATTCTCAAATTGTATGGATTCAATATTGGCAACATCTACATGTCATCCTATGAGCTTATTGAGTGATATGTTACATAGTATAGTGTATTAGTAATGATTGACTTGCGTAATAGATTTGCAATATGTGGTAATGGAGTGAAAACTTAAATTCCTCTTGGCAAGAATGTGTTATCCTTATCGTTTGAACATATGTATCCTATCCCGATTACAACATCACTTTGCTCCGATTCTGAATGGCAGACAGTAGTTACTTAAGCGATTCTAAGCTTATGTGCACCTTGACCGTTACTTAATTGATTTTCGATGATCCTGATGGTATTTAAGCCAGAATTAAGAGACGCTTTTCATAGAAATCATAGCAGGAATGAAGTGCTGTACAGAATCAAATCAATTGCTTCCATTCTATATGACTGTGTTAATGATGCCAAGTTCCTGCAAACATATCAATTGTGAACAGAAAGCATGTGCTAAGATAAGAGTAACAAAGCAATTATGAAACAGTCACAGAAAGAGAGCAAAAGAAAAGGAAAAAAACAGGCAGAGAAAGCTCAGCGATTAAGAATCACCTTCTGAATCGATTTGAGCTTGTCCGTCCACCTGCCCGTCTTGCAATCTTGCATTCAACCTACAATCGGCATTTTTGGAACATTGCGATAAAATTTGGTGCAGTAAAGTGTTTTGGCTCAACGAGGCCCATTATCATCTCTTCGATTACCTCAGATAAAACTATTTAGTTTGACAAGTTGCTGCACAAATAACTGTCGGGTCGTGCATGGTATTTAATTGTGGGCCTCGGTCTACTTTTGCGTGTTTACTTGCTTTAATACTAGTTGATCAAATGTAACGTAACCAAATTATAAAATAGGGGAAGCGCCTGAGTTTGCCTTAGCTGTGTGTGGTAGTGTAGTGTGGTGTGATGGTGAGACGATCAGCTAGAAGGTAACTGTTTATAAAAGTTTTCATTTAGTATCGACATTTGTCAAAATGTCAAGCTTTCTTTCAAATGTTGTTTAATATAGAACGATTATCACGATTATGAAAAAGATTGCGGGAATTTCATGGCCACATCTCAATTTTGAATGAAATATAAATAAAGTTAGCAGCCTGTGTGTTAAAAACTCTGAAACTTTGTTGCAAAACAAGTGACACACAACTAAGTAAACGTACTTGGCACAATTTCGTTCTCTTGATAAATAGCTGCATTGGTTGGTATTAAGCTATGCTCCCAGCTAAACTTGATTTGCTCCGATTTAATTTATTTGACAGCGAAAGCATTCAAAATACATTTGAAAATCATTAATTTTAATTCTGGAATGTTTCCTTTAAAATTCCCTACGAAAGCGAGCTGTGTTTAAATACAACACTATAGAAATCAACATTAAATTTCAAATAAAATAAAAAAAAGGAAGATAATTATTAATTTATTTAGTTGTGCCTTTGCATATATAGTAACCGCTTATGAGCGTAATATGATCTCTGGGTAAACTGTAGGAAATAGTTTTAAACAAATTTTTCCTTTAATCAAGCATAACAAATGATTATGGGTTCGTCGATAGTTACAAAAAAAAATTATGTTTATAATAATAATAATAATAATAATAATGATAATATTTTCTGTTCAGTCTCAAATTTCTTCGTTAAATGTTGTGTGTAATGGAAGCCAAAGGCGTGAAGAAAGTAAGTAAAGTTTGTTTGTCGAAAGGTAAATAAAGAGAAGAAGAACTAGTTAAGGATGTGGAAATTGATACCAATGAAATAAAAATATTGAAGAAATACAAAAACAATTATTATTCAAGAGCGTAAAATTAATAAATTTATGAGAACATTAGGTTCATATGCGTTTAAAGAAATTTGCATAAATTTTTCAAATCTAGTGCTAGGAGTGAGTAGCTTTCACTAAAAATATGTATTGAAAGAAGGCTTTGTGTGTGTGTGTGTGTGTGTATAATTAAATATAACTCAAAAAGATAAGATACAAAAAAATTCAACAGTGCTCTGTTAAGCCATTAATAGGGTTCTGTTATACTAAGTACCGAGAGGACTTAAATCAAAATATAGTAAAAACATAACATTTACAGAATTTTGCATAAACTACTATAAACATAACATCTTTTCATATTAATTACTTGGGATTTTTGATAAATAAAATAATTTTTGTACCACTTCAAATATAAGATTGAAAAAGCGAAAGCCTATATTCCCCGTATATGACGTCAATCTGCATGAAAATACCTTTCGAACGATATAAAAGATTCAAAGTTTTCTAATCGGAACCACTTTTAATAATAATAATAGTAAGAGT